ATTTAATTTATTATTTTCTTCATGACCTCCACTTTCAAAGTATAAAATTTCATTCCCAAACTTTGCATCAAATAGTCAATTAATCCTTCATCCTTTTCCAAATGCTTCAAACGAGTCCATCACTAAAAATACAAAGAAAATTACTCTAAGTTAAATATAAATGAATAATTTGACGATGTAAAAGTTTAATAATGTAAATAAATAAATACACAAATTGCACTTATCAAATACCTCCAAACTTAAACCATTGTTCGTCCTCGAACAAAATTATAACTTAAATAACAACAAACACACAATCATGCTAAAATATTTGGTTGGACCGTTTAGCTTTTTAATTGAAATCAGGGCGCTAAATCTACTAACTATTTCAAAGTCACAATACCAAACTAATATCCACTTTTCCAATACAAAATCGAAGTGTGTATGTGAAGAACTAAGTAGGCATTAATGAATTCACAAATTGTTCCAATTCCCGACCCTCTATGGGCAAATATATCATTTTATCTCTTGTAAGATTCACGCACCCCCAAACTTATTCATTTTCACTCTTTTCCCAATGTGTGATCTAAGATTAAATTTCTCATTACTATCCTCACCCTATCCAATTCAGGTGGACGTCACTAGTTGCAAATCAACACATCAATGAACAAGGATTCTCAAATTATTTGATTGCTTTGACCACCAAGATTCAATTACGCCAATTATCCTTTATCGAAAGTCAAATTCTCTCGAACAAGTGTTGGGACTTACAAGGCATTTAGTGCTTTCGTTTTTGTGTTTTTTTTTTCCATACACTTGCTTTTTCGGATTTTGTTTAACCCTCCCTTAAGTTTTCTAGACCCAATTAGCAGGTTTTAGGCCGATAACTCCCAAATAAGACGACTTTAGTGCACTAGGTTTTCAAATACCCTTACAGGCCTAATAGGCTGAGTCAAAAAGGCTTCAAAGAGAACAATTTTTTAGGATAAATTCATTTCTGATTGTTTTTTAAACGACTCATGTAACGAGCTTTAGGCCGATGACTCCCAATTCAGACGACTTTAGGGCACCAGGTTTTAGGATACCCTTGCAGACTTAATTGCTCGAGTCATAAATGCTCCAAAGAGAAATTTTAAATTTCAAAATATATGACTTGATTAGTGCAATGTCCCTTATAACACACCTATTCAAGCAAACCGACCCTCACTTTAAGACTTTCACCCAATTTTATCATATTAATCTCAAGCAATCCACACAAACATTTTCTTACAAGGAATCCACATTCACATCCGTATTTTCCTACAACAGTAAGATCTTTCCAAATTGTGCTAAATTTGGTCTGAGGATAATTAATTTGTATGGTTTGGGTAAAACATCTATGTCCAACTAACTCAATCTATCACATGCATAAATCAATTCATTCCATCATAATGTCAAACCCAGTTCTAGTGTGCATATAATATCACATTTTGCAAGTTTAAGTTTTAATCAATTTAGCATGCTTCCTATCCACAGCTTATAAATCAACACAAAGTATAAAATTTAATCATCATTGTCAGCCAAACTGTCCAACCCACACAAGCATACAATCAAAAGTAAACAAACAAACAAAATATAAAATTTAACGATTTTTTTTAAAAAAAAAAATTCTAACTTAACACACAAAAAAAATTTTTCCATTAAACATACGAAAACAACGCACAAAGACATACGAAAACCAAAAACATAAAGAGTTTCCCACCCCCAGCTATTATCCTCAATGTCTAAAAACATAATTAAGAATGTAAGAGGACAAGGAAGAAAAGGACGAAGGTATTTTTCTGTTGAGTGTGGAAAGGACTATGGGTAACGGCTAGACAATCTTATTCATCATACTTTTCCCTCGTTCTATGTTGGTTTGAGTGTTCCACGACATCATGTGTCTGCATATGGTAATCAAATCAAACATTAGAGATCAAATAATCTAGAACATGCGTTCCTGAGCCCAAACACTCGAAATAACCAACATTATATTTAAGGGCCTCAATGAAAACATGATCGGATGATGATACTCCATAAATTTAAACGTGCCTAAATCTAATGTAAATTAATAATTAAAACCAATCTATATACAATGCGATGCAGAAAACAAAGTAAATAAAAGGTTTAGAAATTGGGTGCCTCCTAATAAGCGCATAATTTATAGTCTTTAGCTAGACTTTGTTGTCCTGACTACTTTGTATTGCAAGTGGCACGGTTGTTTTCTCACTGGAGTAGTCACTTCCCCAATAAGCTTTCAACCGTTGTCCATTTACTTTGAACCTCCTTTGTTGAACTTGAGACATCACTTCCACAGCACCATGTGGAAACACAGCTACAACTGTGAAGGGACCCGACCACCTACACTTGAGCTTTCCCGAAAAAAGCTTAAGGCATGAATTGAACATCAATACTGACCAACCTCAAACTCCTTCTTTTGTATATGCCTGTCGTGCCATCTCTTGGTCTTTTCCTTATAAATCTTTACATTCTCATACGAATCCAAATGAAACTCATCTAACTCATGAAGTCGTAGAACTCTCTTTTCTCCTGCTGCCCTCATATTGAAATTGAGCAAGTGTGTCACACAGTATGCTTTATGCTCTAACTCAATCGACAGATGACAAGCCTTTCCAAGTACCAACCGATATGGAGACATGCCAATTGGAGTCTTAAATGCTGTTTTATATACCCAAAGTGCATCGTCCAGTTTCTTAGCCCAATCTTTACAGGATGCATTGGTCGTAGCTTTGAGAATCTTCTTTAACTCGCTATTGGAGATTTCCACTTGCCCACTAGTTTGAGGATGGTATGGAGTCGAGACACGATGTTTTACTCCATATTTAGCCAACGACGAAGTAAATAGGCGGTTACAAAAATGCTTTCCACCATTACTAATAATCGCCCTCGGGATACCGTATCGAGTGAAAATGTTCGTCTTGAGGAATTGAGTTGCCACTCCGCCATCATTAGTTGGCAAAGACACAACTTCAACCCACTTAGACACGTAGTCCACTGCCACCAGTATGTATTTTTGACCGTAGGATGGAAGGAATGTGTTAGGTCTAAAGGTGTAATTGGCAATTCTGTGGACAAAATGACTAAATTGTAAATTTGTAATAGTCAGGGACTCAATTGGACAATGTTATAAAAGTCAGAGACTTAGGGTGCAATTTAGCAAAGCTAGATGGTAGGGACTAGGGTTTGAGTGTTTGGTTCAAATTAAGGTTACGGCGACGGAAGTTAGCTAGCTGTTCGCCCTATCACCGCTCGAGCAAGAGGAAGTAGAATGGTCATCGCTCGCTCGCCGCTCAATGTTCGCTCAATCGAAGTGGTGTCGCTCGCTTTTCGCTTGAGCGACGATGTTATATGAAAAATCGTATTTTCAATTTTTGAAAAGTTTGACACGGCCTAGGACTCTTAATTGCCCCCAACTATAAATACAAAGGCCTTGAACGTGAAAGAGAGATTGTCATATTGTGCTTTACATAGATATCATCTTCAATATTCTCTCAAGTGATCCAAGGCAGAACTGAACAAGGAATTCATTCATAAACACCTTGTGATCCGGGCAATCCACTGTCGGAAAAAACATCATTATTTGTGAAACTTCTTCATCTGTTGAGGAAGGGACTCTCTCATTGGGAGATTGAGAGAAGTTGATGACAAGCGCAGGAACTGGACAAGAACAGGATATTATTGGAATTTCACTTGGTGATACAATTAGCTAGAGACCAGGAGGCTGTATTGGACAGCAGATTGGGCTATAGGAGGTAGATTGGGAAGCTAGTAAGAGACTAGCTGTATCTAGAGCAGTAGATCGTGAGACTGAAACAGCGGGTCTGACTTGGTACGGAGTTTGGCATAACTTGTACTGGCTGGATTGGTATAGTGAAAACTACTAGCTTGGTCCCGGAGATTTACCCACATTGGGGTTTTTCCGTCATCATATTGTTTGTTATTTACTGATTTGCATAATATACAAACTGCGGCATTCCAACATAGGTTAATTGACTTGTATGATTAATCATCTAGACAAATAATTAAAGTGATTTGTTGCTTTAGTTAGATTAATTTCGCACATAAGGTTAAATTGGTCTAGAACGTAAACTTGGTAACGCATAAAATTTGAACTTGATACTATATCGCGTTAGTCGAACTTTCTAGCATATCTAAGCGTTCTAGGTCAATTTTTTTTTTTTTTTTACTTTCAAGTGGTATCAGAGCCTAAAATCGTGTCCTGACCTTAAATAGTCTAGATGAGTACCTCGTTGAATGTGCCACCCCACTTTGATGGTAGTAACTATGTATATTAGAAGGTTAAAATGAGGGCATTTTTGAAATCCATGGATGAGCGTGTCTGGCAGAGCGTAGTGAATGGTTGGTCTGCCACTAGTACCACAATAGATGGTGTAGTCATTCCCACCCCGTAGAAAACTGGTCTAGAGCACAATTGGATAGTTGTAACTTTAATAGCAAGGCCATACATGCATTGTTTATGGCTGTGTCCTCCGAGGAATTTAGGAGAGTATCTATGTGTGAGGTAGCTAAGGATGTTTGGGATATTTTACAAACCACACATGAGGGAACCCAAGCCGTTAAAAATTCTAAGTTACAGATGCTGACCAGTAGGTTCGAGGAAATCAGGATGAGAGATGATGAGACATTTGATGTCTTTTATGCGAGCTTAAATGATATAGTGAATTCCTCTTTCAACCTACATGAGAAAATTCTGAAGCCTAAGATAGTTAGAAAAATTCTTAGATCCTTACCTAAGTGTTTCAGGCCGAAAGTCACAGCTATTGAGGAAAGTAAGGACATAGACACTATCAAGGTAGAGGAGTTAGTCGGATCCCTCCAGACCTATGAGTTGACCTTAGACAATCCTGCTAAGGAAAAATCCACAGCCTTGAAATCCACTAGGAATAATTGGATGAAATCTTCTGACTCAGATTCACCCAATGATGAGGAGATGGCCTACCTAGCTAAGAAATTTTGAAAAAATGTTTAGGAATAAGAAGAAGTCTCAAGAAAGACAAAAAGGTGGCCCGAGTGAATTTAGGAGAAAATCTAAATCCGTGAGATGCCATAACTATCGGGGTTTCGGTCATGTGAGGAATGAGTGCCCTAATGCTAGGAGAGTTGAAGAGAAGGCAATGAATACTACTTTAACCAATGACGAGCCTAGCTCGGACAATCAGAGTGAGAAATCCACATGTGAGGAGAATGGAAAATATGTGACCTTCGTTGCTAGGGTTAAGAGTGGATCCGAACAGGAGAGTGATAGGGAATGGGACTTAGATAGTAGTGAAGAATCTGGTGATGAGAGTGGAAGTGAGCAAGATCTAGAAACAGCCTATGATAGGATGTATGAGGAAAGCCTCAAGATCTTAGCCACTAACCAGGTAATGAGCAAGAAAGTAAAGGAGCTTAGACTAGAGAAGGAACAGTTACAGGCCCGGGTTAGTGATCTCACCGGTAAGAATGAGATGTCCTCTAAGAGAGTAAGTGAGTTGACCGTTGTGAATGAGACCTTAACTATTCAGGTTAAACACCTTTAGAGTGAGCTAGAGTTGTCTAGGTCTCAGTTACTTGCCTTTTCTAGTAGTTCTGAAAAGCCAAATAATATTCTAGGTATAGGCAAGCCGACTGGTTATACGGGAGGTCTAGGTTTTGATCTGAATATTGCTAGTACATCACAGACCACCTTTGTTCGTGCTACTGACCAGCCAAACATTGTGACTAACCCCATACCAAATATTGTGGGATCTTCAGGATGTAGGTCTACCAGACGTCATAGGACCCGTCGGCCTAGAAATAGAAATCAGCGTAAGCATATCATAGGTCCTAGGTCTGTCCCTACATATTTTCACGGTGGGGAGTTAGGTCACATCCGCCCTAGATGTCATCAATACCTGAACAAGAGTAAAAACTTGAGCCTGAAAAAGAATAAAAATCAGGTGTCTGTTGGTCAGATTGGATTCCTTGCTAATCAAGTGAATCGTTTGACTCAATTGGTGACACAGTTGTCTGGAAACAATCTCCGTTCTAGACAGGTTTGGGTGAAGAAAATCGATCTCCCAAATTTGGTTAGAGGTCGCGGTGCTCTTAAAGGAAAGAGCATTTATATACCTACTTGATTAAGTATTTTTGATACATGCTTGGTTCTTGATTAATATATATAATTATTGCATGCATCACGTGTACATTGTTTGTTTGTTTTTCTTGTTTTGTTGTTTTTCATGCATGTGCATTTTCACCTATGAGTTTTGGTGCATGCATCTTTATTTTTGTCTTTGTGTGTTTGACGTTATTTTATTTTGTGTGTACAGCATTCATTTTAGGAAAAATGAAAAACAAAAAAAAATTGAAAAATTGAAAAAGACAAAAATAATTGGTTATGGAAATTGCTACAGTATGACACATATTTCTTGAACTTGATGGTTGTAATCATGTATGAGCTAAAATTGATAAGTTGTAGAATAATTTCCATTATTTGCTTAGTTCTCTTTGGATTACTTAGTATAGATGTCATCATGTACCATCTGCACTGCACACACTATGAATTTGTTAGTGGGACTCTACCGCGTGTGTGAGATTTGGGATGGCTGTCACATGTTGATAGGGTGACTTTGAATATGAATTGACCAATATTTAGTAGACCTAAACACAAAAATTATCCCCCCATATTAAAGCTCAATATCTTAATGTTCTTTTTCGTTCCCTATTTGACTCGAGCATTTAAGCCTGTGGGGTCTCTTAAAACATGGTGCCTATGGTCAAGTGACTTGGGTTAACCGACCTAAAGCTCGCTACAGGGGTCATCTTAGTTGCCTAATGGAGAAGAAGCTGCACTTAAGATGAAAAAGTAATGAGCTGAAAAATGAGAAAAATATGAAGAGCTGAAATAATATGAAAATCTGAAAAATATAAAAACTCATAGTAAGGGGGAGGTAAGTAAAAATAATAAGTATATGTCCTACTACATATTACATGGTTTGACTTTCATTAGTAGAAGAATATACTTACTGGCAGTGATTAGCATGTCCCTTCTCACAACATTAAGGTTTGGAGTCCTGCTTGCATTGGAATAGTGACACTTTACACACATGAGTCAATTGTACTTTTACTCCATTTTGGTCTAAACTGCTACTTGTTAATTTTACTTTTGCATGCTATCAACTGCATTTTTAAGTTATTATGTGTTATTTGCTCAGCTTGTTCTTAATATGATTCCCTTCAACATTTGTAACAAAAAGGGGGAGAGAAATATGTAACTAAGGGGAAAAATAATGATTAAGCATACACATAGGAGAGGGACTGCATATGCATGCACATGACATCATTGATTGTTATCACTTACATTGCATTGCTATGTCTAGGGGTCATTGGGGAGAGACATAGATACATTTACCTACTGCATAAAAACATGAAAGCTTGCAGTAAGGAAGAGCGTTGCATTGCATTCTATATCACATCCATCTGTTTGAGTTTTGATGTTTAGTGGTGTTGGTATCTTGGTTGGTGTTTTGATTGGCATCAATATCACGTCTTAAACTGATATGTTGATTTGTGATTAAGAGATTTAATTAATTTTTATATTTCTTGTATCATGTGCTTTTACACTGGGTATATGAGTTTGTGGATTTTAGAAAACAGATACACGAAGGAATGCAAAACTTAGTGATTAGGTTTACTGGGTAGTTTAGTTTTTGGTTGTCAAATCCTGACTTATTTTTTATTGTCCTGACTTCATTTGTAGTGTTTTGTCACAGAATGCCAAAGGGAGAGTTTCTTAGGTCTAAAGGTGTAATTGGCGATTCTGAGGACAAAAGGACTAAATTGTAAATTTGTAAAAGTTAGGGACTCAATTGTACAATGTTATAAAAGTCAGGGACTTAGGGTGCAATTTATCAAAGCTAGATGGTAGGGACTAGGGTTTAAGTGTTTGGTTCAAATCAAGGTCACGGCGTCTAAAAGGTCGCTAGTTGTTCGTCCTGCCACCGCTTGAGCGAGATGAAGCAGAATGGTCATCGCTCGCTCGCAGCTCGATGTTTGCTCGAGTGAAGTGGCCTCGTTCTCTTTTCGCTCGAGCGACGGTGTTTTATGAAAATTCGTATTTTCTATTTTTGGAAAGTTTGACACGGCCTAGGACTCTTAATTGCCCCCAACTATAAATACAAAGGCCGTGAACGTGAAAGAGAGATTGTCATATTGTGCTTTACATAGATATCATCTTCAATGTTCTCTCAAGAGATCCAAGGCAGAACTGAACAACGAATTCATCCATAAACACCTTGTGATCCAGGCAATCCACTGTTGGGAAAAACATCACTATTTGTGAAGATAAAACATCTGGACTTCTTCATCTGTTGAGGAAGGGACTCTCTCATTGGGAGATTGAGAGAGGTGGACGACAAGCGTAGGAACTGGACAAGAACAAGAAGTTCTTGGAATTCCACTTGGTGTTACAATCAGCTAGAGATCAGAAGGCTATATTGGACAGTAGATTGGGCTGAAGGAGGTAGATCAGGATGCTAGCAAGAGACTAGCAGTATCTACGGTAGTAGATCGTGAGACTGGAACAGCGGGTCTGACTTGGTATGGAGTTTGGCATAACTTGTATTGGCTGGATTGGTATAGTGGAAACTACTGGCTTGGTCCCGAAGTTTTACCCACGTTGGGGTTTTTCCGTCATCATATTGTTTGTTGTTTACTGCTTTGCATAATATACAAATTGCGGCATTCCAAAATAGGTTAATTGACTTGTATGATTAATCACCTAAACAACTAATTAAAGTGACTTGTTGCTTTAGTTAGATTAATTCCACATGTAAGGTCAAATTGGTTCAAGTGAAATCTAGAACGTAAACTAGGTAACGCATAAAATTTGAACTTGATACTGTATCACGTTAGTCGAACTTTCTAACATATCTAAGCATTATAGGTCAAATTTTTTACTTTCAGAATGGTCCCATGGAGTCAATGCCCCAAACGTCAAATATTTCAACATCCAAAATACTGTTCAAAGGCATCTCGTTCCTCCTTGAGATGTTTCCAGTCCTCTAGCACTTATCACAATGTTTCACCATTTAATTGGCGTCCTTAAACAACGTAGGCCAATAAAAACCCGATTGTAGTACCTTTGCGGCTATCTTGGTTGCTGCGAAGTGACCCCCATACGGTGCAGAGTGACATAATTTCAATACTTGATGCTGCTCTACTTCTGGCATACAACGGCTATGATCTGATCTGGACCCTTTTTGTAAAGAATTGGATCATCCGAAAAGTGGTGTTTTAAGTCACTGAAAAATTTCTTTTTCTGATGACTCGAGTAGTCCAGTGGGATGATGGAGCGAGCCAAATAATTTACATAGTCGGCATACCATGGCATAGTAATGATCTGAAAAAGCATCTCATCTGAGTAAACTTCATTGATCTCCTTCACAGGGTGTGACTAGTGATGGCAACGGGGCGGGGTTCGGGGCGAGGCACCCCCACCCCGTCCTGCCCCGTTTGGGTAAAATCCCACCCCACCCCGTGCCCCGCCCTGCCTTAGACGGGACAGGGCGGGGACGGGGCAACTTTTTGCCCCGTTTGTTGCCCCGTTTAATTTTTTTTATTTTTTATTTTTTACATTTTGAAAGTTTCGAATTATGTTATTATTAGAGAATAAAATACAAATTTAAAATAAGTTTTTAACGGATGAATTGTCTAGAAATAAAATTATTTTTAATTTTTTTTTTTACTTTTTCTTCACGGGACGGGTTCGGGGCGATCATTTACGCCCCGCCCCACGACGGGGTGGGTTTTTTTGCCCCATTCGGAGTGGGGTGGGGCGGGGCGGGGCGGGGCAAATTGCCAGCACTAGGTGTGACTCATGTGATTCAAGGCGAGATAAGTGATTCGCAACAACGTTCTCACTCCCCTTTTTATCTCTAATCTCCAAATCAAATTCTTGCAATAGGACTATCCATCGAATAAGTCTAAGCTTCGCGTCATTCTTGCTCATTAGATACTTCAAGGCTGAATGATCTCTGTAGACAATCACTTTTGACCCAATCAAATATGATCTGAATTTATCAACGGCGAACACCATTGCTAAAAGCTCTTACTCTGTAGTAGCATAATTCATTTGATCCTCATCCAAAGTCTTACTGGAATAGTGGATAACATGAGAAATATTTCCCTTGCGTTGACCAAACACTATCCCCACTGCATGATCACTGGCATCACACATAAGCTCAAACGGATAATCCCAGTCTGGAGGAGCCAACACTGGAGCAGAGACCTATTTTTCCTTTAAAGGGTTGAAAGCAGTCAAGCACTCCTCAAAAAAGTGAAATGAAGCCCTTTTTCCAATAGATTACATAATGGCTTCGAGATTTTGGAAAAAACTTTGATGAAGCGACGGTAGAACCTAGTGTGACCCAAGAAACTTCTGACTCCTTTCACTGTTGCTGGCGGTGGTAGTTTTTCGATGACTTGTATCTTAGCTTTATCCACCTCAATATTCTGTGTTGTTAGATACCCTAACACAATTTCTTCCTAAACCATGAAATGATATTTTTCCCAATTTAATACAAGGTTTGTGTCTTCACACCGCTGCAACACTTCTCCCAAATGTTCAAGGCACTCCTTAAATGATTTTCCAAATACTGAAAAATCATCCATAAACACCTCAATGATATTTCCCACCATGTCCGAGAAAATAGACATCATACAATGCTAAAAGGTGGCAGGAGCTTTGCAAAGACCAAAAGGCGTCCTCTTATAGGCAAAAGTGTCATAAGGGCATGTAAAGATCGTCTTCTCTTGATCATCCGATGCTATAGGAATCTGATTATACCCCGAATAACCATCCAAGAAGCAATAGTAAGCATGTCCAGCAAGTCTCTCTAGCATCTGATCAATGAAAGCAAAAGGAAAGTGATCTTTCCTCGTGGCGTTGTTGAGTTTACGATAGTCAATACAAACTCTCCAACCTGTGACTGTGCATGTCGGGATGAGCTCATTGTTTTCATTTAGAACCATCGTGATCCCTCCCTTTTCGGTATGACCTGTACTGGACTAACCCAATGACTATCTGATATGGGGTAGATGACCCCTGCATCCAGAACCTTTAATACCTATTTCCTTA